AAAACTTCGAATTTTCCTTAATTTACATATTCTGAACCAGCACACCAAATTTAAATTTTCTGGGACAACTCCCCTAATTTTGCCGATTCACTGATTGGGGGCGAAGCACTGTGCGCCGGGGACCAGGAGGACGCAGTGGATGAAGCTGCAGACGACTCAAAATACAGCACTCCGTACAGCAACCGGATGTCTTCAGATGTCGCAGAACATTACCTGCATGACGAAGGCATGTCAGAAGGCATCTATACAAACTGACGGAGTAAGTCCAGAGGTTCATAGAGCACCCCTGGACCCGACAGCAAATCGACAGGCCCTGAGCGTCATCCTCAGGGAGTCGGTCTCAAGTCACGTAGACTCCAGACCTGTGAATGCCATTCTGGGCACACAACTACCTGACGTGGACGAAACGAAGCTTCGTCTGCATCAGGAGACTCGGACCACAATAGCCTATATTCGCTCTAGCTACGGCAGCAGGTTGAACTCATACCTGAGCAGACTACACGTTTTTCAGTTTTAGTTCAGAAAGTTGCAATTCATATTCACAAATTCCATTTCAAATTCAGATAGTTACAATTCAAGTTGAGAATTTCCATTTCAAATTCAGAATTTTCATTTCAAATTCAGAAAGCTACAATTCAAATTCAGAATTTCCATTTTAAATTCAGAAATTTGTAATTCAAATTCAGAGTTTCCATTTGAAATTCAGAGGGTTGCAGTTCAAATTCAGAATTTGCATTTTAAATTCGGAAAGTTGCATATCAAATTCACAAGGTTACATTTCAAATTCAGAATTTCCATTTCAAATTCAGAAACCTTCATTTGAAATTCAGAAAGTTACAATTCAAATTCAGCAAATTACAATTCAAGTTCTGAAAATTTTCATATCAAATTCAGAAATTTCCAATTTAAGTTCAGAAAATTTCGTATTCACGGTACGATTTTGAGTTTTTAAGTTGTATCTTCGTTGGGGACCATATTCGCCTATGCTAAATCCAGTAGAAACAATAGGTCTAAAATGAAGTAACTTGTTAAACCAAGTATGGATGTGCCCAATGTTGAGGGTCCCGGATTAACGAAGCAGAGGCTGCAGTACTTGACCATGCCAAGGTAGCCTGGATTTGCTCGAGCAACGCAGCATTGCTTTTCATTTCATGCTAAGTATGTATGTACTGCAACGGTTGAATTGTTACTGTTTTCCTTAAATAAAAATAAAAATAGAAATTGTCTGAACTTAAATTGTAAATTTCTGAATTTGAAATGGAAATTTTCTGAAAATGAATTGTAACTTTCTGAATTTGAAATGAAAGTTTCTGAATTTGAAATGGAAATTCTGAATTTGAAATGTAGTTTTCTGAACTTGAATTGCAACTTTCTGAATTTAAAATGGAAATTCTGAATTTAAATTGAAACTTTCTGAATTTAAAAGGGAAATTATGAATTTGAATTGCAGCTTTCTGAATTTAAAATGGAAATTCTGAATTTGAATTGACACTTTCTGAATTTAAAATGAAAATTCTGAATTTGAAATGGAAATTCTGAACTTGAATTGTAACTTTCTGAATTTAAATTGCAACTTTCTGAACTAAAACTGAAAAAGGCGTAGATGCGGATGTGCCCAATGAGTGTCCGGCGTGCAGAGAGACACCCCACGACTCGAAACATCTCTTCGCATGCCCAAAAAACCCCACTCAACTGACGCTTTTCTCCCTTTGGACAGACCCCATAGAGGCTGCACGCTTCTGGGGCTCTCGTTAGTTGAGCTTGACGACAACTATTGATTTTTGTTTTGGAAATTTTTATTTTGTTTTTTTTTTTTGTTTTTTTTTTTTGTTTTTATACATTTTTAAATGAATTTATAATTTTTTTACCTGCTGTACCAAGTAGTCCTATCCTCTAACTTCATTGTAATTTATGAAAATTATTTAAAAAAATTTATTTTAGCATTGGTAATATTTATGTATATAAAAAAATAGTTTCTTCGTAATATATTTAATAAAGTTTTGAAAGTTTTCGCGAGAACAATTTTTAACATAGCTGTTACTAAAATATTGTAAGGAATTTTGTTGTATTTTTATTTTTTTGTGCGCAGGGAAAAGCAGGGAGAAAGACGATGGTAGGGATTAAAAAAAAAACATGTGGCGCCGCTGGTTGGAGCTTGACGTCTACGCCGGTGGCGCCAAGATAACGAGGTTTAACCATTCTAAAATCTAGGGAGCCTCTTCTTCTGAGTACACGCCTCAGCCACCTGTAACAAACTGCTAGGCAGGAGGAAAGCCCTCAAGTCTCTAACCGGTAAGGCTCAAAACATATAAAGGGATCGGCTGGTCGGTGGCGAATTACGCAGCGCGACAGGAATGAGCGAAACGCTGTGGAGAATCCTACAGACTTACAGAACGCAGCTCTACGTACGGCTACAGGCTACCATCTCATGTCGTCCGAGCATCACCTCCATGGAGAAAGGTGAAAGAGCACAATACCATGCTATCGAAGCTATTCCTCGTGGGATATCACTGTGGAAACCCCAACAAAACTGCTTCGAAACGATCACCTCCCCGACACTTGAGGTTGCAGCTGCACGACTGGAGAATTGATATCGAGCCGTACGTCGACCATCCATTCTACAGAGCGGTGCTCAAAAACCTACACAGCGATGCAGTGAGGACGAGTCCCAGTACTCGCTAAGATAACATCGACCTAGGTGGTCGACGGCGGCCCATATACATTGAAGAATCCAGATGCACCCCAGCATTACTCCGTTCAGGGTGGTGCCACAGGCTCAACTGCTCTCGGCTGAACTCAGAAGTTGCAAACACCTGCCCAGCATGCGGGCCAAGTCCACCACTAGCACCGTAACGCCAGAAGTACTATGGACTACGCCTATCGACGTCGCCCACTTCGTCGACCTCAGGCTTGCAGAGTCAGACAGTGAAGATGATTCATGACGAAGCCAACAACTACAACAACAGTGTGAACAAGCTGCAGAAACAGTCGAAAAAATTAATAAATCTCAATCAAAATATCGCCTGCAACCACAAAAATTCGGTTGCGAATATAGCAACTTAGTTGCACGCTTTTTGTTGCTAGCTGCCATCTGTATTACCATTTCAGTCAGAGGCAACGTAATTGAAGTTCAGTTGCAATCCGTAGTCGCATGCCTCACTGACATTTTGACTAGGCTCTGGCTTTACACTTCCATTTCAAAAGTTTTCACCTTCTGCATCCACGATCTCTCTCATACGTTATTATTGTGCTTAGTTTGCAGCAGCAGAAAAAGTAGACCGATTTCGTTCCTCTTCAAAGACATTTTTTTTCTACCAAAAATCTCATTTTAAATACGATCCTCTAATTTTTATACCGTCGGTGATTCTGTACAACGATCTATCAATTATTACTTCTGTGCTCTATTAGTCCTTCAACTTCGTCAGCTAAAAGGAAACAGTTTAGTCACTAGTCATCGTAAGTACCAAGAATACTAATTGATATATATTTCGCTTATGCGTAGGCTAATTGACGGAATCATTTCATGAATTTGGATTAAAATTGGCTGCATAACACACAATTTTACAAATTTAGTTACACACGAAAATTAACAATGAATTTCTGCATCATTTCATGAAATCGTGAAGTGCAAAGCCGGCAACGCCGCGTTTCACAAACAGTTGTTTATTAGGGTTATGACGTTTTTAGATTCAAAAGCATGCAGTAGCATAACCATAATTTAAAACACTAAAATTACGGGGATTTGTTCAAATACAAAACAAATACAAATAGTAGAAATTCAAATACAATAAGGCCAATTTAAATATATAACATGGACCATTTCGTGGTACCAACGGCTTTTTCAAATTCAAAATACCCTGTGGGGAAAATCTCTAGTTCTGAACTGGTGCGCTTCTAGTACATTTAGACCCAGTACTGGTTCGCGATAAATCTGTTTTGCATGCAAGCAACTGGCGAATTTAACATGGCGATGTCCTAGGAAGTGTCAATTGCCCCCCGCTGCATCCCTTTTTCGATAGTTCCGAACTAGTCCTAAATTCTATAGTTCCGAACCAGTTCTAAAATCGACAGACGTATCATGATTTTTCAATCTTTTTCGTTCTTCCGTGTGCGCCATTTTAAGGTATTTTGGATGAAATGTGTTTTCAATTTAAAATTAAATTTGTTTGAATGATTGTAAGAAATGTACGTTTATATACCTTTAGCTGTAGCTGAGTTTGCAGAGGTTCTCGCTGTTATTTCTTAGATTCCAAACTGTCCCGAGATGTTGAAATGTTAACACAAATTTTAGTTTTGTATTACCAAGCTATGAAAAAGCATCTGCGAAGCACAGAATAGAAGCGTAAAGCCGCCGAACACATATCTATGTAAAGTAAACAAGCCCCCCGCTGCATCCCTTATTCGATAGTTCCAAACTGGTTCTAAATTCGACAAATAAGATCTAGTTCGTTCTGCATCCCTTTTTCTATAGTTCCGAACCATTTCTAAATTCGTCACTTTAGATATAGATTTCTAGTGACAAAAACTGAAAAAATTAGTATTTTAAAAGTACAACTTTTCGCTGATTTTGGACTGGTGGGGATCTAGTTCGTTTTTGGCGATAAAGACCTAGTACAGAACTAGAAATTTGATTCACTATTCCGAGGTTTCCCTACAGGGTAAGGCCAAAAAACACAACCCTACTGTTTAGTTTCTCGGTAGTGCGCTGCCAATTTTTCAAAACACATAATTTCATGAATTCACGAATGAAGAATTCATGAATTCTGTCGCATAAATGTAGTAATAGAACATTTTGCAGTATCACCGACAAAGCAATCGCTGCCAAGACAACAGGTTTCGATATAGTAGTACAAAATGTAATAAATACATATGTAGGTGTATGGCACCATTTGAATTTACCGAACTTTTTAGGTGATATAATATGTAAGATCATACATTACTAGTAGCGCAATTATTATATTACTTTTCTTGTTTCTTTTTTATGCCAAATTCGACACAAGTTTGTTTCTAAGCGCAGAAATTTCTATAAACGAACATGCTAAATAGGCATAACGTACATAAGGCTTTAAGATTAAGCGACACCATAAATCATATCGACTCGACACGAATAGAGAATTGAGAGAATTATTGCGTGCATACTGTGCGCTATGTTACGACGTCTATATCTAGATCAACAAAACCCGCTGTACAATCAACAAGAAAACTTGCAGTCTGGCAGGTGTGCAATGCCCTTATTTATACTTATTACCAAACATTGAAAGATAATATATTTTTTAAACTATTTTATTTATGTAACTTATTTGTAATATTAACTTTATACGGGGTGATGGTTTGAACATACTGCTTGATCAGCTAAATTTAACAACAACACGCAATTAATTCCTATTTTATAAGAGAAAAATGCCGTGAATAGCGGTTAGATGTGCTACAGTAATACTAATTCGACATTTTTCTTTTTTTTTTTTTGCTAAAACTACTTACATTATTGTGCATGCAACGATATCCACACATAGAGATCTTTATGCTTATATGTGACTGTAGCCCTAAAAATTACTTTTATATGTATTTAGTTTTATGTATACATATATGCATAGCCGCATAAGCAATTTCGACGAAGATTAACATACACATGTATGTAGCAGGGCAGTCGTTCCTCGCTAGCTGGCGCCAATTAGATACACCGAGTGAGGCTAAGGTTCTCTTTGGGCTTCAATGATTACATTAGGTTTGTTCCACACGAGCCCGCGGAATCCCGCGGGTGCCCAAAATAGCCCAGAAAGCGTCCCTAACGCTAGAAAATTGGGTAATAGAGAGCGAATACCTTCCACTTTTGCCCTCTTTGCCGGACTTTTTTCCCGGGCACAAATGTGCAAGAAGTCAATTTGAAATAACAGCTGTTGTTTGTTTACATCCGAAAGCAAATTTTGTGAAGTACAAAAATGAAAAATAGCACGTAAGCCTGTGTGCGAGTACGTCTAAATTGCTACCTAAATAGAGAAAAATCCTAAATCACTGGAAAATGTCAATAATGCAGTGAATAGAAACAATTTAGATTTTTCCGAGCATATTTTTCAACCCAAATTGAACTGTGAAATATAAATGGGCGCGCGATTAAGCGAACAATTATTTTTTTAGAAGTTTTAAGTTATTTTTATAGTTTCTATAGCACAAAAAAGAAAATATTCAAAAAAATTTCAATACAAATATCTTTGATTTTAGTAAAAGTAAAGAATAGGGCCCGATGAGCTGGAAAAAAAGAAAAAGTGGCTCGCCCCTTATTCTTGATTTTGGTGGTATATTAAAAGGGCGGTGTATGGGGGTGGTAAAAGTGGAATTTCCAATATTTTCAAAAACTTATTTTCTCGAAAATTATTGAACCGATTTTCAAAACGTGCATACGGTTGGAAATGTAATTGAAATACCTTTTGTTGAGTATATATATCTATATAAATAATATATACATATTTCGAGAAAAACAAGATTATCAGACATGTTCTGCAATTCACTTCCGAGCGAATTTCAACAAAATGTGCTTTGAATTCAAATTGGCAGGGGTTGAAATTCACTCGGAAATGAATTGCAGAACCTGCCTGTATGTCTTTTTTTAAATCAAAATGTATGTTTTTCTTAAAAAAATACATAATAAATTATAAGATATGTATATCAGAACAAAAGAATATTAAAAAAAATAGTGAAAATTTGGAAATATCTATTTTTTAAAATAGTTATTTACGTATTTTTTTAAGAAAAACATACATTTTTATTAAAGAATGGCTATAAATTCGTTTTTTTAGTTTTCTCGAAGTATAGATATACATATCAAATGAAATGTATTTCAATTCCCTTTCAAACCATATCCACGTTTTGAAAAGCGGTTCAATAATTTGATAATATAAGCTTTTGAAAAAAGTGAAAATTCTTATTTTACCACCCCCTAGCACCGCCCCTATTAATTTGCACCAAACAATTTTTATACCGTTTGAATCAATGAAAGAAGGCGAACTATATACACTTTTTCTTTTTTTTTCTAGCTGAACCGGCCCTATTTTTCAATTATACCCAAACAATTTAGGTTGTCAAATGAACTCGCACAGTTTTGGCAGTTTTTTCCTACATTGTAGCATTGCTAGAAATTTCCAGTGGAATATTAGTTTAGGTACTAAAATTTAGGTCAACTAGCACACAGCCTAAGTTTCAGAAATGTGGTATTTGCTAATTTTATTGGTCATATAAGATGAATACACATAAAATCATTGTTTAAAGCTGATTTGTTGATTCCGGGCTCAGTAGTGCGATTCACTAACTTTTAACAATGAGACTTATCGAGTTGTAAGCTAACAATTTTTGTTGTTTGCAGTAACGATTGTGCGATTCACTAACTGTACTGCCGCTATTGGACACAAATCCATTGCATATGCCAAGGCGCTCGTGTGAGCTCAAAGTTCACAGACATTTTATGTGAAAGAAAATGCTCAACACAAAAAACATTCTAAAAAATCAACGCCAACTTTTAGCGACTTGAAACTTGCACTTTATTAGACTAAAATTGAATGGGCTACAAAACTGCATACCCGAAAATCTTATAAAGGTTCTCAATAAAAAGTTAGAAAGCTTGGAGGAAATATTTTTAAGTTTGATTCATTTTTGTGAATTTTATGCAAGCTTTATTATGTGGTTTCTGTTGAAATATAGGAGATGGAAGTACTAAAAATAAAATTATTTAAAATAATAAATAAATACACATAAGTAGCAAACACCATAATTTTGAATTTTGTTGCCATATTTTACACGCAGCTGTAAATAAAGTCGTCGGCAGGCAATGGCAAACCTCCGATCGTATTTCTGCCATGAAAAACAGCTTCTCATAAAAATACAATCGCCGTTCGGAGTCGGCGTAAAACTGTAGGTCCCTTCGCCTTGTGTGACAATATCAAGGCGCACGCCACAAGTCGGAGGAGAAGCTCGGCCAAACACTAACATATGTGTAAGCGCCAATCTATTATTATTATTATTATTGTAAATAAAGTTTACAAAAACATTTAACATGAAAATAAATGTTAATATTAAAAAAATCACTGTATGCACACTTTGTACATATTTATTTTGAGGACTGATTTTATTGTGCTAGTGTGTCATGATGGTTAATAAAGACATTTCTAAATATTAACATACATATATGATATTTATATTTTTAATAAACGATGTACACGTATTAAATTGAAAACTTTAATTATTCAATTCCTTTAAATTCAAGGCATATTCAGTTCCTGTAAGATTAAAAAATAGCTTTACCACCTTTTAACTTCCAGTTTTCTATATTTGCTTACACCCTATTGGAAAATTATAACCGGAACACATATAGACAAGTTGTAACAAACTATTTTTTTTTGTTATTTAATTTGTATTACTTATTTTAATAGTGTATTCTGTATCTAAAACCGTATAAACTCTAGTTTTAAACCTTGTGGAACATTTAAACAAAATTCAACAAACTTTCGTAAAACTTCAAGTTTTTTATCAGAATAATAAAAAAATTATGTATGCAGTTTTGTAGCCCATTAAATTTTAGTACAATAAAGTGCAAGTTTGATGTTTCTGAAAAACCCTTTGATTTTTGATATTTTTTTGCTATCGGTGCTGTGCATTTTTATGTTTTATTAACAACGCCAATCTAGACGTCGTCAAATTAGCGGCCTTCGTTATCGTTAGCGACAACAGCTGATTTGGCTCTAACGAATATTGTTAGGGAAACGTTTACTGAATAGCTAAATTGTTAAAATTGTCGTTTAGCTGACTTAACAATAACAAGAGTTGTTAAAATCGCGTAGTGAATCGCACCACAGGGCTCTTTTGGCACGTACTGACACATTTTTGACACTTATGAAACAAACATATTAGTTCTGTTCGCTATGCAAATGCCAGTAAGAATTAGCCAGTAAAAAAATTCAGAGAATAAGGATCTTACTCTCCCAAAGAGAGAAACTTACTAAGTTTTGCGCGAACAGGAATTATCAAACATTTGCAAGCTTCGCT